TGGTCAACGGTCTCTTGACGTTGGGATCGCTCACAAGAAGCTGGAATAAGAGGACGTGGGAGGGGGGGGCAGTGGGAAGACGGAAGTAGGTGGATAAAACGGGTGGTTGTGGGAGGAAGAAACGGGAGAAGTGGGAGGGAAACGTAGGTGGGTAGGGGTGAGGGAGGGAAGAAAGGGTTGGAGGGAGGGGGGGAGGGGAAAAACATATGGGGGTGAGTGTGTGGTTGATTGATAGCAGGGAGGCTTTGATTGATTTAGGGAGCCGGTGGCTGAGCGGCCAGAAGACTGGACGCATGATCCTGTGGTCCCGGGTTCGACCCCGGGCGCCGGCGAGAAACGATGGGCAGAGTTTCTTTCACCCTGATGCCCCTGTTACCTAGCAGTAAATGGGTACCTGAGAGTTAGTCAGCTGTCACGGGCTGCTTCCTGGGGGTGGAGGCCTGGTCGAGGACCGGGTATAAGTACTTCCTTACATTTCTTCGGTTCATTTGCGTTTCCAACTTCCACCCGTCTCCTCTTGTTCTACGTTCTCTCAATTTCAAGAGGCTATCTTTGTACACTTGATCTATTCCCCCTCAGTATCTTGTCAAAAAAAATTCAAATGTTTATTCAGGTAAAGTACATACATACAAGGTGATACAAATATTGATGAATTTATAGATAGAGCTAGTACATACAATGCCTAAAGCCACTATTACGCATAGCGTTTCGGGCAGGAAAATCATAGAAAATCATTGTAATCATAGCGCCCTTCTGCTCCTTCTATCCTCTGAGGTTGCGAGATTTCGTTCCACTAGCTTAACACTCTTACCTCTGGCACCAATTGTGAAGGGGGCGAGAAAGAAAAGTCGTGAAGGAGGGGATGGAAGTTGGACTGGAAAGGAAAGTGAGAGTGGCTGGGATGGAGTTTGGAAGAAGGGGGGAGGGAAAAGGGGGGGAAGGGGGGGGTTATCTTGAGGTTATCTTGAGATGATTTCGGGGTTTTAGTGTCCCCGCGGCCCGGTCCTCGACCAGGCCTCCACCCCCAGGAAGCAGCCCGTGACAGCTGACTAACACCCAGGTACCTATTTTACTGCTAGGTAACAGGGGCATTCAGGGTGAAAGAAACTTTGCCCATTTGTTTCTGCCTCGTGCGGGAATCGAACCCGCGCCACAGAATTACGAGTCCTGCGCGCTATCCACCAGGCTACGAGGCCCTAGGGAGGGAGGGGGGTAGGACAAGCGAGGGGTGGGTGGTGGCGACTGATGGCTGTGGGGGGGAGGGGGGGAGGGGTCGCCCTGGGCACGCACACAACGTAACCACAAAACTATTTTATGTTGCTAAAACCTTATTAATGTTGCAACAGCTTAAGCAAAACATTGTGGCTTAGGTAACATTCAAATGGTGGGAGGGGTTAGGGAGGGGGGGGGGGTGAGCGGCTGTCAGGGAGGTGGGGGGTGAGCGGGTGTTAGGGAAGGGGGGGGGGGGTGAGCGGCTGTCAGGGAGGGGGGGGGGTGAGCGGCTGTCAGGGAGGGGGGGGGGGTGTGAGCGGCTGTCAGGGAGGGAGGGGGGGGGGGGGGCTGTCAGGGGGGGGGGGGGTGTGAGCGGGTGTTAGGGAGGGAGGGAAGGGGGGGTGAGCGGGTGTTAGGGAGGGAGGGAGGGGGGAGTGTGAGCGGGTGTTAGGGAGGGAGGGAGGGGGGTGTGAGCGGGTGTGAGCGGGTGTTAGGGAGGGAGGGAGGGGGGGGGGGGTGTGAGCGGGTGTTAGGGAGGGAGGGAGGGGGGGGTGTGAGCGGGTGTTAGGGAGGGAGGGAGGGGGGTGTGAGCGGGTGTTAGGGAGGGAGTGTGAGCGGGTGTTAGGGAGGGAGGGAGGGAGGGGGGTGTGAGCGGGTGTTAGGGAGGGAGGGAAGGGGGGTGTGAGCGGGTGTTAGGGAGGGAGGGAGGGGGGTGTGAGCGGGTGTTAGGGAGGGAGGGAGGGAGGGAGGGAGGGGGGGGGTGTGAGCGGGTGTTAGGGAGGGAGGGAGGGAGGGGGGTGTGAGCGGGTGTTAGGGAGGGAGGGAGGGAGGGGGGTGTGAGCGGGTGTTAGGGAGGGAGGGAGGGAGGGGGGTGTGAGCGGGTGTTAGGGAGGGAGGGAGGGGGGTGTGAGCGGGTGTTAGGGAGGGAGGGAGGGGGGGTGTGAACCAGTGTATAAGATATCTGAGCTAGGACTTCCTGGGAGATTTACTGCTACTCTCTGCAGCTTTATAGACAACAGAACTGCTAGGCTTAATATCGGCAGCTACTTGGGTGACGTAATAGAATTGAAAAGTGGAGTACCACAAGGAAGCTGCCTCTCCCCCCCACTCTATTCAACATATATACAGCTGACCTACCCCAACCCCAACATGGAGAATACATCACATACGCTGACAATGTCACCCAAATAATATGCCAACCGGGCCCATCAAAGTCGCTACTAGCCGACAAGACCAAGGCAGCAATTGAACTCAAACAACTTTGAGATGCAATGGAAAATTAGCACCAACAAACAAAAGTTTCAGATAATACACAATGCGAAAAGAAACCCGGACCCCATTATCCTTGACAACCATCCGATCCAATATGCGGAGGTAGGCAGAATACTGGGATTCATGATGAATAGAACAGGGATACAAATTCACGTAAGGGACCGACTAAACAAAGCCAAAGTATCCTTAGGAAAACTGAGAAGATCACGAAGCCTCAGTACAAACATTCAGATCCACCTATATAAGGCTCTAGTTAGGCCGCATCTAGAGTATCCCCCGATTGAACGGTTATGATACCTCTATCCAATGGGTCCCAGCGCATTGTGGTATTCTCCATAATGAACTAGTAGATCAACTAGCCAAAGCAATGCACAACACACCTCACATTACCCGTCATCCAATTCCCCATGTTGCACGTAAAGGAGCCTTCAAAAATACCATCACCCAAGATTTTGCGACGAAATGGAAAACGTCATGCTCACCTTTGTACTATGGGTCCATTAAAAAGAAATGGGAAACTTGGAAACATGTCAGATATAAAAGCAGAGAAATTGATATAGCGATGACCAGATTAAGGCTGGGACACACCAAACTAGCAGCACAAAGCTCTAAGTACAGAACAGACATCAACGAACTCTGCATCCACTGTCAGGTGCCTGAAACAATCGAACACTATCTCCTACATTGCTTCCGACATTATAGTGCCAGAGTAAATTTCAAACAAGAACTTATCTCACTTAAAATACCCTTTACCATCGAGCATATATTAGGAGGCGGTGACCACTCGTTACAAGAAAAATACCAAATAGTCAAAGCACTGGCTAAATATCTCCAATCGACCAACAAATTGGGTCACATCTGACCCGCGCCACATTTATACCTGGCGCCACCAACAGCTAAACACAGAAAACAACTGCCTCGTCGCAGCACCAAGGATCAGCTGACGCCATAAACACAACACACCGCCCTACGGTGCGGCAAGTCTCCCTCTAACATCCACCTCTGTTTTAGTCGCCGCTCCTCTGTCTACAGCACAACGCAACAAGCACTTTTGAAACTCTTATCATCTTCAACATAAACGCCTCTACCAACATCTGTACTGGTGCAGTCATCGGGAGGACAAACCCTTCATGCAAACTGCACCTACTATCAAGAAGAAGAAGAGTATCCCCCAGTACCACTACACACCATAAAGAAAACTAACATGCAAAAACTGCAAGCAGTGCAAAATAAAGCGCTAAGGAGAGCAGCAAAATACCGTCCACCATATGATCAGACAATCCAGGAGCTCCATGAACTCCTGAACATACAGCCACTAAACATCAGACTGCAGCACCAAGCCATCAGGCTGTGGAACACCATCGAAATGTTGGAGGACCCAATGTTACACAGGTTACTCCAAGATGAGACGCCCCGCTCCCACAGCTGGTGGCCCAAGAGCCACGATTTACTAGACAAAAACCCCGCCCCACAGTACATAATTCCCAGATGAAATACTGACCAGAAATCCTTCCCCCAATAATTGGAAAAATTGAGTATGTGTATATGTGTAAAGTTTGTGTATATGCATATAGGTATATAACTCAATAAATAATAATAATAAAATAAAGAGCCTTAAACAGAACATGTGCGGAAGCATCGGAGTGTGCATATATGAATGCTACACAGTATTCATCTATAGACATCCATATATGGTGAAACACATGTGAAGAACCTCTCACACACTCACAGCTCCCTGACAAGAGGGAGCCAGCTTAGCTTAGCTGCCAACACCCACACATCGTGTCAGCAAGGCGGACAGCCCGCCTGCTTTCATACCTCTCATCGTATTTCCCACTTCTAAACTTCCCTTCACCTATGCATCTCCTTCCTCTTTACTCCCCCCCCCCAAAAAAAAAGTGTTAGGGGAGGGGGTGTGAGCCAGTGTTAGGGAGGGACGGGGTGCGAGCCAGCGTAAGGGAGGGGGGGGGGGCAGGTTTACCTATCAGAGTTCAGTGTTTTATTGAACAATCAACTACAGAAGGTGATTGCAGTGCTCATAAAATTATATTCTAACCTACATACAGAAACACAGATTTACGTCTGTTCTACATAAAGTGTTCGATGTATCTTTTTTTACATAATGTCATTAATGTGCGTTTACAAAAGTGAAATGCACCTACCCACGGAAGGTGATTAACCTGAGCCTGTTAAAGCACCCTATAGTTACATCACAAACATTGTATAACTTCGTGGTGGAAGGGTGGAGGGCCGGGTGGGGGTTAGTGGTGGAGGGCCGGGTGGGGGGTTAGTGGTGGAGGGCCGGGTGGGGGGTTAGTGGTGGAGGGCCGGGTGGGGGGTTAGTGGTGGAGGGGTGGGAATGAGCGGGGAGAGATTTGAATTGATTGGGGGGGGGGACCTTTCCACCATCAATTCTTCCCTAATCTACCTTCATTCTGCTCTCATAGTGGTTCCTCTTTGTAACAAGTATTCGTAACAAATTCACTATATAAATACCTGTATAAGAACAAGCTATATATTTTAACATAATTTCGAGGTTCTGTAAGATTTATTTTCGTGAGCGTTGAGCGCGTGTGTACTTAGTATGGCGAGTTATTACCAGCCATCCAGCCAGCAGTCATGCAGGCGGGTTGTGTGTGTGCGGTGGTGGCAGTCGTGCCTGCCTGGCTACTGCCTCTTCTCTTGGTATCCGCTCTCCCGGATAACAAGGTCGATCAGAGAGATTACTCTGACCTGGCCCAGGATGCTATAAAACAAATACAGGACGAACAGCGAGGCGTCGATGAAAGTAAGTTGTAAACCAAGATATTTGTTACAGTTCCTTGTGACGTATTTAATGAATAAATATATTTGTTTCCTATATATGAGTGTAAACAAAAGGCACCAGTATACAAGAGATCACAGAAATAACACGACACGATCTCAATTGTAGTAATTGTTTTCAGGTATAAATGCATTGTTGGAGAATGTTGACATCCTAACTGATGCGCTCTCCGCTCACCTCACTCTTGATGATGAGAGTGGTACACAAGGTAAGGATTGATATACATGTCAGTATTCACTCAAAATATGTCTGTGTTCGACTCAATATTTTAAGTAAAAAAATGGGTACAGCAAGCTAATAAGATGTAAAAAAAAAAAAAACTTGTTCCTCGTGTTGAAAAAAACAAAAATTACTATAAAATGCCCAACCTTCAAAGCCTTCGTTAACACTAAAAGTTTTATACTAACATACGAGACAATGATGATTGATGTACGACGTTGGGACGTTCTGGAAGAAATAATAAACTTGTGAATGAATGAATGAATGAATGAATGAATGAGCAGCAGCTCTGAAACACAGGAAAGCTAATGATGAGGTTTACGGTCACTTCTGTGTGATACATTGTGACTCGTGTCTGACAGACTAAATTTTTATATTACACAAGAGGGCATGTTTACTGGGCAGCGTCATTTATCCATTGAATGAACATACTGACATAGGCTACTGGGATTTATCTATAGAAGTGTTAGCAACAAGACGTTAATATCATTCTTCAGCTCTAGGGAAGGGGTGTGTTATATTAAGGGGACCTCTTGTTAAGTCCCAGATATATTATGAAGCTAAGTTTTAGCTTATACTATAGAATGGACAAATTCACTTGAACGCATACAGAGAAGAATAACAAAGGTAATTCCAGTTATTAAATTCCATATATCAACAACCCTGTTTCCACCGAATTTATTTAAATCCTACCCTGGAAACACAAACCGAAACTGTCTCTATTTTCCGCTTGTTACAACTTGTAATAAAGTTGTTACATCTTGGCTTAACGTGTTTATGACGTATTAGAACGTTGTTACAACTTGCTATATTGGTTGTTATAACTGGTTAGGAAGTGTTAAAACTTGTTCGAACGTTGTACCAACGTCGTAGTTTCGGTGTGTGTTTGGCGGGTACATGGTCAATCCTCCCCCGCAGGTATGAATTCGCGGGGTTGATCAGAAGGCAAGTTCTATAAGGTAACAAATAGATCGGCGAGGGGCCCCTTCGTGGTGTTCTCGTTTCCCCCAATAATTAGCACAAATCTTTCTTGGCAATAACTCTGGGAAGACACCTTTTAACCACGATTTGATGTTTTGGCAGGTTGGGGAATTGCTATAGATTTATTTTATATGCTAGATGGCTTTTTACATGATCCTACGAGTTGATCCTCGGTGTTCTTGGTAGAGCTGACATCTTAAAAGGAAATGAACGTGGAAACGCATTCCAGAGTTTCATCATAAATTTCCAAGTTTTCATTTTCTTTCTCGAGATGAGAGAATGCTTTCTTCTTATTTGTAGAGTGAAACAGAGTTCAGTGGACTTCCTTTCAAAGAGTTTAATGAACGGTTTCTCCTTCGAAAAGTGTGGAATTTTGTAGTGGCATCTGTACATCACACTATAATTCATACCGGAAATCAGATATTAGCAACTGAAGGATGTTTAATGCGGAACTAAGCACTCCTTAGTACACTAAACTGATCCATCAAGCAGATCTTGGACTTCCCTTTCGTGAGATTTTTAAATCTACTTCATGTGTCTTCCCTTAACACTTGTTACTTTTATTTTAATAATTTTTTTTCGGGGACAGGCAGTCTGTATGTAGATATATATGCACTGTATATATTAGGTTTATATCGAGATGCCCCCCCCCTCCCCAAGGTCGAACTACCAACCTTCCCCAGGATGCTGCCCTACAACAGTTGCCTAACTCAAGGGTACATTTTTACTGCTTGGTGAACAGAGGCATTGGGTGAAAAGAAACGTGCCCGACCATTTCTGTCCCGCCCGGGATTCGACCCAGAGTTTAGAACGAACCCAGCTATACTACCTAGGAATCGCACATTTAATCACAAGAATTGACGCAATGTTTGCCAGTTATCTTGTCCCACCGCACACTCACATCCATATCGATAACAAATTAACAATTGGCCCACAAGACCCCCGCTTACCCACCACCCATTCTCAGTCATTGCTAACACGAGTCATAAATAGCCTCAGTGTAGCGGTCTTCCAAAACTTTAAAACCCAAACAGTTGTTGCCTCTACCATCGCCCTTGCATTACGCAACTACTAAAGCATCAACATAACTCGAAGATAACATACCAAAGTCAGCCATAGCCTCAACCTTCGCCTCCACGATGAAAAATTGTTTCCCTACCACGAGCACAATTTACACAGGCGGCTCTCGGATCAAACAACAATGAACCTTCCGTCACCAGCACCGCGGGCTGGACTCGCAACTGATTACTTTCGAACTTCTCTTGAACCATGCTTCCTGGTTCGATCCCCCGCCCTGCTCCAATGATTTTCTAGAGCTTTCTGTGTTCAAATTACACCTCGCCAAATACTTCATCCACGAATTGAACGTACAAATAATTGCCAGCAGAACTAAAACACTTACCCTCACCTATCCTTCTAGTTTATGATGAGTTTACGTGAAGGTTTTCTCTTCTCGATAACTGTATGAGTGGTAATTGTGGGAGATGTGTCACAACTGAGCGTTAATGTTGATTTGGCCAGGCTTTAATAGTTTTTTATGAGTTAAGAGTTGCAGCACTTGTTAAAGAGGTCTGGATGTTTTGTTGATGGTGTCAGCTGTTCGCTGCTTTCCTTTGTTGCAAGGTTACGTTTTCTATGTCTGATAATCAGTCTGAAGTTTTTAGGTTTTGTGAAGAGCACAAATATAGCCTAATTTCTTGGTTGACTGGAGATATATAGCCAATGTTTTGACTGTTTGGTATTTTATATGTAGTGAGAAGTCCCCTCCTCCATACTATGTACTCGATATTAAAGGCCATTTGAAGGTGATAAATTTTTGTTTGAAATTGATTTTTGCGTTAGAATGTCAGTAGTGAAGGAGATAATGTTCAATTGTCCCTAGAACACGGCAGTGGAGCTTTAGTCTGGTCATTGTTATAGCTATTTGTCGTTATACCTGATGTGTTTCGAAGTTAACCAAGTCTTTTTTTATAGTTCAAAAGTATGTGGAAGAGTATGATGTTTGCCATTTATGTGCAATGTTTTGGGTGATGCATTTTATTGGCCCCCTTTTCGTGCTATACAAGGAATTGGACGATGTGTGATGTGTTAATTGTAGCGTGAATCTGCCAATTCTATAATATGCTGGCACTCATTGTAGGGGCCTCGTAGCCTGGTGGATAGCGCGCAGGTCTCGTAATTCTGTGGCGCGGGTTCGATTCCCGCACGAGGCAGAAACAAATGGGCAAAGTTTCTTTCACCCTGAATGCCCCTGTTACCTAGCAGTAAATAGGTACCTGGGAGTTAGTCAGCTGTCACGGGCTGCTTCCTGGGGGTGGAGGCCTGGTCGAGGACCGGGCCGCGGGGACACTAAAGCCCCGAAATCATCTCAAGATAACCTCAAGATTGTATGGATATGTTATATCCTTTTAAAGAAGTTACTGAAGAAGCAGTAAGCAAGAATGTACTAGCTCTTCACATGTGTTTGAGCAGTATGTGATGGCTTTGGTCGCACTTGTTGGAGTCACTGCAGATTGTGTATTTCCCCAAGTGGTGGTGTGGTTATTATTTGTAAAGCTTGGTACAGAGCACACAATTCTGCTGTGAATATATTGATAGTTGATTGGTAGGAAGAAAGCTACTTGTTTAATGGCATGGAGTACTCTTCGCGTGTTCAGAACACGTCAGGGCCAGGAGTGCACTTCAGGGCCAAGGGTGCACGTCTGGGCAAGGAGTGCACTTCAAGGCCAGCGGGTGCACTTCAGGGCCAGGGGTGCACTTCAGGGCCAGGAGTGCACGTCAGGGCCAGGGGTGCACTTTAGGGCCAAGGGTGCACTTCAGGGCCAAGGGTGCACTTCAGGGCCAAGGATGTACTTTAGGGCCTGGGGTGCACTTTAGGGCCAGGGGTGCACTTTAGTGTCTGGGGTGCAGTTTAGGGCCAAGGGTGCACTTTATGGCCAGGGGTGCACTTTAGGGCCAGGGGGTGCACTTCAGGGCCTGGGGTGCACTTCAGGGCCAGGCGTGCACATCATGGCCAGGAGTGCACGTCAGGGTCAGGTGTGCACTTCAGGGCCAGGAATGCACGTCAGGGCCAGGAGTGCACTTCAGGGCCAGGAGTGCACTTCAGGGCCAGGAGTGCACTTCAGGGCCAAGGGGGCACTTCAGGGCCAGGGGTGCACTTCAGGGCCAGGAGTGCACGTCAGGGCCTGGGGTGCACGTCAGGGCCAGGAGTGCACGTCAGGGCCTGGGGTGCACTTCAGGGCCAGGGGTGCACTTCAGGGCCAGGGGTGCACTTCAGGGCCAGGGGTGCACTTCAGGGCCTGGGGTGCACTTCAGGGCCAGAAGTGCACTTTAGGGCCAGGGGTGCACTTCAGGGCTAGGAGTGCACTTCAGGGCCAGGAGTGCACTTTAGGGCCTAAAAAGGGCCTAAAATACTCTTCACGTCTTGCAGAACACACAAGAGCACGAGTGCACTTCATGAATACATAAACATTGTTAAAGTCAACCGTTGCAAGGTATACATAAGCTGAATTACTTAAAAGAACGATTGATAATTTAGCAGTGAAACCAGAACTATTATCAGTGACGCTGAACTTTTATTATCAGTGACAAATTCTTTAAAGATTAATAATTTATGCACACACAATTTTAAATTGAAGTATACCAAATATATTGCTAAATATTTGATATCTTCTCAGATGTCGAGGACAGGGACAACCTCACCCACCGCCTACTCGACAAACTGGAGGAACTGGACTGTGTCCACAAAGCTCACGATGATGAAAATCTCCAGCTAAAGGAGGAAAATGCTTACCTAAAAACACAGCTCTATTTGGTTGAGAAGAAAAGCAGGAGCCATAACAACGGAGAACGCCTTGAAAAGGATAATCAACAACTAAAGGCCAACATTCAACAAGTAAAAGAGGATGCGAAATTTGCGAAGGCTGAGATTCGTAAAGTGCAGGCGGATGCGAGGCTGGTTAAGGAGGAAAATATTCAATTGAAAAAGGAGATTCAATTGGTAGAGGAAGAATACTTGAAGACTTTAGACGATATTCGCTTATTAGAGGAGGAGATACGTGTACTGAAAGCCGACATTCAAAAGGCGGAGGAGGACGCCAAACAGGTGAAGGGAAAGAAGCGAGAGCTGGAGCTCGCAGAAATGGAAGCCCAGGAGAGGGACACGAAGGCGTCGAAGAGGATCGCTGAACTAGAGAGAATGGTCCAACAGCTGCAAGAGATGAACAATAAGACTGAAAGTGAGAAGAGACTTGTTGAAGACCAACTCCCACTCTTGAAGAAGGAGAAGAGGGATGTTGAAGACCAGCTCTCACTCTTGCAGCAGAGTAAAAAAGAATTTGAAAACCACCTCTTACAATTTGAGAAGGAAAAGAGAGAGATTGAAGACCATCTGTCTCTTATGGAGGATAACATGAGAGACGTTGAAGACCAACTCTGCCTCGCAAAGAAGGAGAAGAAAATTGTTGAAGACCAACTCTCCGTCGTCGAAGATGAGGTCAGAAACTTACGAGCAGGGAACACGACTCTAAACAATGAAGTAGGAAAAAAGGCACAGCAAATTATTAGCGCCAAAAATGAAATGAGTCGCATAGATGAAAAGGAACACCAGGAATGCAAGAGAAGTGTTCACAAATTGTTCACAAGGTAAACTGTGCTGTTCGACTCCTGGGGCCAGATTCACGAAGCAGCTACGCAAGCACTTACGAACCTGTACATCTTTACTCAATCTTTGGGGGCTTTGTTTACAATTATTAAAGAGTTAATAAACTCCGAAGCACCAGGAGGCTGTTTATAATAATAACAACAGTTGACTGGGAAGTTTTCATGCTTGTAAACTGTTTAATAAATGTAACCAAAGCCGTAAAAAATTGACGAAAGATGTACACGTTCGTAAGTACTTGCGTAACGGCTTCGTGAATGTGGCCCCAGGCTTTTACCCCCATCCTACCCTAGCGCATCATGCTTTTGTGTTACTTCTGAAAGAGGGAGTGGTGAATATATATATATATATATATATATATATATATATATATATATATATATATATATATATATATATATATATGTATGCATGTGTGTATGTATGTTTATAGCCTATCTTTGTATTTTCTCTTATATAATGGTAAGAGTTTTATTATAATATTGTATGTATAAGTGATTTTCTTAAATTTGAATCAAAACTAACTTAGAAACGTAAATATCCAGATTTAGGGATATTTAGATTTCTCTGTACTGTCCGCCAGTTAAAACTAGGCCAAGTTAGAAATTCATCTTGTCAATATAAGATATTAATATTATTAAGGGAGAACTAAATTCAAAATACTTTAAAATCAGCAAAATCGATCAGGCTGTTAGGCATAACGAGTCGAAGAAATTTCAATGTTATTTTATTATCAGGGCGAAGACAGCCAAAGACTGTGCTGAACTGTACTGCCGGGGAGCGAGGATGAATGGTGTCTACGTCATCAAACCGGACAGGTAATTCTTAACCTTTTTATGACTACAGATTCCCAAATGAGTTACCCAATATATCACCTTGCTCCTTTCGCCAGGGTCGAAAACGAGCCTGCAGGGTGGAATAATGTGGAAATTTCTGGCAGTCCAGAAAAATGTAATCAGTGCATCCTTCTCTTTTCTGAATGATCAATGTCATCTTGAAATAAAACAGCAGGTTTGTGAAGCCATGTATAAGTCTCGTCACGAAATGTGTCAGTATTCAAGAATTTCTGGGGTTGACAGTTTGTCTGATTTATTTACCCTAAGAGTTTGTGATCTCTCCAACAGGAAGGGTCAGCAAGTGTCAGCCTGGTGTGACATGACTAGCAACGGAGGTGAGTAATCTCAAGAGAGGGTCAGCAAGTGTCTGCCTGGTGTGACATGACTAGCAACGGAGGTGAGTAATCTCAAGAGAGGGTCAGCAAGTGTCTGCCTGGTATGACATGACTAGCAACGGAGGTGAGTAATCTCAAGAGAGGGTCAGCAAGTGTCTGCCTGGTGTGACATGACTAGCAACGGAGGTGAGTAATCTCAAGAGAGGGTCAGCAAGTGTCTGCCTGGTGTGACATGACTAGCAACGGAGGTGAGTAATCTCAAGAGAGGGTCAGCAAGTGTCTGCCTGGTTTGACATGACTAACAACGGGGGTCAGGTGTTTCACCAACAGGGAGGGACGAATAATGTGACATGATTATAATAGATAATTCATGATGGAGGTGATAGTATCGCAGTTTAAAGGATGTCTTTAAGCCAAGTTCCGTGCTGCGTTTCACTTAAGAGTTGGAGAGTGAAGGTAAGCTGCCTCAGAAAGGAATAGTGGGGTTCATACTGCAGTCTACACTCAGGGAATCAACATAGGAATGTGCCTTAATGCTAGTAGTGAGTGAGAATGTCGTGATAGTTACAAGTGGAGTATAGTCAATGGCTATGTCAGCCGCGCCCTCACACACAACTCCAGTTGGAAGCCGATTGACGAGGAACTCAGTAGAGTAAGGCAGGTTAGTCTAACTTGTTCTCCCGATGGAAGATGTGGTTGTGGAAAAGCAGGGGGGGGGGAAGGGAGACGGAAGAAAAAATAGGGGTGGAATGGGGGATAGTGGGATAGTGGAAGAGACAGACTATCCTGGGCACTGCCGGGTACCCTTTCTAGTGTACCGAGAGACTCCGGATAGTATCTTTCTCTCCCACCCATCTTTTTCCCCCCTCTACCATCCCCCTATCCCTTCCTCTCCCTCGCTCTTTCCCCTCATCTCCCTCTTCTGGAGGTGTGGCCCAAATGTGCAACATCCATTGTTGGCTAGTACTTGTACATATCAAATTTATTGACTCCCTTTAATCTGCACGAAGTCCAATATACCCTTCATGTACTTTAGTGACTTGGAGGTCAAGCTAAACCGTGCCTTGAAGCATTGGTTTTACATTTAAATTTAGCTTTGTCCAAAACGCTATGCGTGCTAGTGGCTTTACAAGAATGTAAAAGCAACTTCATTTCTATGTTCTCTCTTAACCCCTAATGTACCTTCGTGTATATAAATAAATAAATAAATAAGCTAGAAACATCTTATCAGTAAAAGTACCCATATTACTGTTATTAGAATAGCTGAATTGACCCCCAAATATCACATCAGCTACTTCATGGCACGTTTTATATTACAATGACTGTGTTCACCTGTTCTTCAGGAGGATGGACGGTGTTCATCAAGAGAGACAAGAAGGCTATTCCCCAGGTGAGCTTCGCCAAAGACTGGACGCAGTACAAGACTGGCTTCGGTAACATCTCCACGGAGTATTGGTTAGGTAAGAGGTAATACTGCTGGTTCCACTGACTACTGTCTTCCACCCTGGTGTCTCCTCTTCTCACTCACGTAGGAATATAAGAATGAGACAATATAAGAAGAAAACTGTAAAATGGCAATTGGCCCTTACGAGACACCTTCTATTAACATTCACCTAAACTCATTCATATATGTCTAACCTACGCTTGGAACAATTCAGCAATCTCATATTAACGTTATCCAATAATTTGTTCCATAAATCAACAGCCCTGTTTCCAAATAATATTTACCCATGTCTTTCCTGAAAGTAAATTCTCCAATTTATAAATATCGTTTCGAGTCTTATTTTGTGCTGATAATATATTACTATGATAATACTATCAGCATAAAATAGGACTATATTCTTTCATCCATCCGTACACTTCACATCCATCCTTCGCATATTATATCCTTTCGGCCATCCGTACACATTAAGCATGTCACCCATACTCTATGACTTTCTAAGAGATTGAAATTCAAGAATGTAAAATCAACTTCATTTCTATGTTCAGGGGAAAGAGTTGTGGAGCAGGTTGCCGGGTAGCGTAGTGAAGGTGCGGTCATGTCTTGTTTCCGTTGTGGAGTAGACATGTATTTGAGTAGGTTTGGGTTAATATGAGCTGCCTCGTATAGGCCAACAGGTCTTCTCTTATTCTCTTTATTCTTTTCTTTCTCCCTTCACAAAGAATGTTTCTAATTCCTGAGATTAACCTCGTCATCCTTCCTGTTAAGGGCTACTCCTGCCCGTGCTACCGCTAGGGTGACTTAATTTCCATCCATCAATCGTTATCTTTCTCTGTATGTGTTCATGTGAATTTGTCCATTCTGGGGACAAGTGACCAGAATTGAACTACACATTCTAAATGTTCCCTAACAGGAGCAAGATACAGCTGAAGAACATTATTAGATACCGTTTTGTTAACGATTTTAGAAATAAATCCTTTTATTATATTTTATTTCGTATATTTATGTATTGCTGATATCTAGTAACTCGTTATCATTACCTAGCCTTAGAACCCGCGTTTCAGCATTAAACTACATCTGCCCAGCTTTCATCCACTTTAAAAATCTAGATTATTTTGTAATGACTTGGTGTTCTGAAATTATTTCCATTCCTATTTTTGTATCGTTTGGAAATTTGCAAGTTTTGTTTTTCGATTCTTAACCAAAATCTGAGATTTATATATAATATCCGGCGGTGCCTGGGTTAGCCAGTCTATCTATTAATGTATTTTTATGTCTACCTCTCTGTTTGTATGGGTCTGTCTGTCTCTCTGGCTGTCTCTGTCTATTTCTCTGCCTCTTTCTCCCTCTCTCTGTCTATATGTAATGATGATTCTTCAGGTAGCCAGATGCCTCGTCATCTAATTAATGACGTGCATGAACGGAGTAACCAGATTTACTCACTCTTTCGATCTACTATCTAGCGAGCCCACAAGCAGGAGAACGAGCCCGCACTAAGTAATTATCAAAAGAAAGCACCAAGCCGGGAAGGCTATATGTAGCACCGAGCCTGCACTAAACAGTCCTGCATTCTGCCTGTCTATATTACCATGTGTGACAGGGTTGGAGTGGTTGTACCAGTTGACCAAGCCCTCGCCCCAGACCCTGCTGCTGTCCGCCACCAACATGCATGGTGAACCCGGCTGGGCGATCTGGTCCATCTTCCGCGTCAAAGCCGAGAGTACCGGGTGAGTCTGGCTACTTTCCTCTGTTGTGGGTGTTGCTGATATTCCTCCTGTTCCTGGTGCTGTTAACGTTGATTCTTGATTCTGTTTACGTTGCAAGAGCTGCTACTGTTGCCGATGTTTTTGCTGGCGCTGCTGCTGTTTCTGTTGCTAATGTTGCTGTTGCCGATGCTGTTATTGTTGATATTGTTGCTGCTGATGCTGTTATTGTTGATATTGTTGCTGGTGTTGCGTTACTGTTGACGGTTCTGGTGTTGCTTGTAGTGCTAAGGGTTATGTTGCTTATAGTGCTAGTTGGTTGTGCTGCTGTGTTGCTTGTAATGCTACTGCTTGTGTTACTGACGGTGATGCTTGTAGTTGTGTTGCTGTCGCAAGTAGTAGCCCTACAAGCTTTTACAATGGTGGTGGTGACACCTTCACGCCATACTGCAAAACTAATCAATCAAACTCGACTCTTTCTATGAGCATATGTTTATATATGAAATTTCTAAATGATTGCTTGCGATTTTCAACTGAGAGCTACCTATGTGATACCTGGTTCCCCCCCACACCATTTCCTACCGTGACCCAGGTTCCAGTTGCTGGTGAACGAGTACCAAGAGAAGAGTACCATGGGGGACCAACTTGTACAGCACCTCAACCACAGTGATATGAGGTTCTCCACCCACGATAGAGATCATGACCGCTGGTCAGGTAAGTTTGGTTGCACTGAACATCTCACTGTTCCTTTCTTGAGGTGAGGAAATTTATAAATATATATATATAATCATTTAATTCATTAATGAACGACGGGGATGAATAACTCTTAAATCATGTAATGCATTTCCTGTCATGAATGCGTTCTTGTACATGCATGTGGATACTGGTGTGTGCGCGCATGTAGGTGTGTAAACATGTAGATAGATCACCAAATCTCTCTCATTCATATATCACCCTACAGGTAGTTCCTGTGCTCGGATATACGGAGAGGGAGGCGGATGGTGGTACAGGGCTTGCAGCTGGTTTTTCCCTACCACTTCCCACGGTAACTTAAGGACATACTACTGGAAACCGAGGGCCGATAAGTGGGTTTATCTCAGCCAGTTGCAAATGATGGTACGACCCCAAATCTTCCCAGCCTGTCGCGAGTGATTGGTGGTAGGAAAACATGGTGGTGATGAGATGTCTGTGAGTTTGTGGAGGTTGTGGTGGTGGTTGTTGTTGTTGTGGTGGGGGGGGGGGGTGAACTGGTTCTTGTGATGGGGCTGGCGACTTGGCGGTAGTAGTAATGGTGGTGCTGTTTTTTTTTTTTTTTTTTTTTTTCTCCAGGGATATTCCTGCGCGGGCCCTAAGTCTCTGGCTGGCCCACTAAGTGTTGCTTGTTTCTGTTTTACTTGGGCGGAGTATGAGTATTTATTACTCGTATGGTCGCTTTAGTAAGATTTTGCCATATGTGTTTAACAACTTCTGCTCTGTTGAATCTAAGTTGAAATCTTAATGGGTTTGTAACTGTGCACTGTGTTAGATAATGTTCCAGTGGTCTGTCGGGCATTTCTCCACAGTGCTGACATTTCCTCTCATCTTCCGGAACCTGTAAGCCTATTTCCCATGCACATGGGTATCCGAGCCTGATGCGATGTAAGTGTACTTCTGTTGCTCTACTGCTCCCTTTTATCAAACTAAGTTGTTCATAGTTGGTTGAATTCTTGTACCAACCCGCAGATCCTGATGTTGCAACTGCTGTGTTGTGGTCACTGTACATCTTTTGCATTGCTCTGTTTCTAATTACTTTCTTAATCTGTGATAGACTCTGTGGTATGTAAATGTCTACATTTCTTCTCTGAGTTGCGGTGGTGCTGGTGGTAGTGAGCTTTGTGATTGTGGTGAACTGGCGGCAGTGGTGAGGTGGCAGTGTTTGTGCTTGTGGTGAGCTGGTGAATTGTTACTTGTGATGGTAGTAGTGGTGGTGGTGGTAAAATGATAGTAGGAACCTTTGGTTGTGGTGGTAGTCGCCAACTCATACCTCAATATTCTCTGTATTACAATCATTGTACATCTGTATTGTATTTAACACCTGCAAATGTATTTTTCAAATAAAATTATGATTGTACCATTTATTGTGTTTAGTCTTGAGCCCTTCATCACCTGATACAGCAACAATGGCGGCACTGTGTGCTCTAGCTATGGCACTCTGGTTAGGCACAGTGCCATAACCTACAGCTGGGTTAATTCCTGACACTGACACTATTTAAAATTTTCTCTTGATATATATTACCCCTCTCCCTTTCTAATCCATTAGTGTGAAATGGTGTATAACCCTTAATTTTATATTCAGCTTATTGCTCCCCATTTTCTGTTTATGTTTCTGCTTGTGCAAAATATGTATATTGTTTATGTGCACCTTTTTGCATGCATCTATTTTGTTTCTGTCTCTTAGTACTTGAGTAGTACAAATTTAGGATGTTACTATGATTTCAGTTCTATTTTACGCTCCACAACTTTCTATTTTTATGTCCTGTCCCCGACAAGGTCTAGTCTCCCCTTTACATTGTTGACGTTCACACCTAGACCATTGGTTTCTATCAGTTTAATGTAAATATAATCTCTAAAATTGTAAATCATTTAAAGAAAAATAAGTATACCATTTAAGGGGTTTAAAGTTCATGTGATAATATGAAACCACTTGTTTATTGATAATTATACTACTGTATATGTTATGTAGTATTACCTTGTATAATTTATGTATATATGATTTATATTGTATTTTATTAGATAAGGATAACAAAAAAGTTTAAAGCCCTGCTAAGTGCTGCTTCCAATGAGTACTCTAAGGTCACCACCCCGCATATCCTGACTGATGCACCGCATCCCTTGCATTCTTTTTTCAATTTCAATTTTCAATTCGATTTCAATCCCTTGCATTCATTAAGCCGTTTGCCAGTCAACGAATCACAGTTTCTGATGAATGATACAGAACTGTCAAAACAATTCCTTTCGAGTCGGCAATTTACCCCAATTGCCCATGACACGTTACACCTAGCAAGAGGTACTAGCTATTTTATATCATGTTCCTAACTTTATGTGGGGGGGTGTAGTATGATATATTGTTAGTAAAGATCAATTCACACACTCATAGCTTGTTACCAGTGTTAAAACCGTACACACACACACACACACTCTCTGAACTATATGTTTAACTGATCTCTAACCCTGTCTATGGAGGACAGAAGAAAATGTATATATGCTGGTTAGCATTGTAAATGTGTGGCCACGTTTGTGGTAGAAAATAATAATAATAAAAAAAATACACTCTGCTTGTTACAACCTAACACTCACAGTTTGTTACCCGAATGTTACAACTTTACAGTTTGTTATTTGAGTGTTACAACCTTACAGCTTGTTACCCAAGTGTTACAACTTTACACACACACACACTCAGCTTATGACGTGAGTGTTACAACTTTACAGTTTGTTACCCAAGTGTTACAACCTTACAGCTTGTTACCCGAGTGTTACAACTTTACACCCTCAACTTACCTGTGTTACAGATTGACTCACAACTTAAAAAGAGTTGCACCAGTGTTGCAACCCTGTACACTAGCAAGTTGCCAGTGTTACAGCATTACACATTGTAATGACAAGTACCCTGGTAGTACTGTACTAGTTACCTTTTAAAGGCCCCAGACCTTCAATCCAGCCTCCCCAGGATGCAACCCCCGACGACAAGCTGACCATCTCTGGGTGAACAGAGGCATGAGGTGACAGGAAAGGCCCCAGACCCTCAATCCAGCCTCCCCAGGATGCAACCCCCGACGACAAGCTGACCATTTCTGGGTGGACAGAGGCATGAGGTGACAGGAAACGCCCCCTCAACCATTTGTTTCTGTTCTGCCCGGGATTCCAACCAGGAATTCTCGATTTTAAGCCGAGAACGAATCCGACTGTACTACTAGAACCCCCTCTTGAAGACATCAGATGAATACACAAATATACAATGTATACAATATACAAAGGGGTACTTAAGGGTTATAGCTGTGAGCAGCCACGTGTGCGTATATATCCCCTCCAGTAGCTCACACAACACTGTCGTCAGCGGGCACTGGGCATAGCTATAGACCTCCTAAGAGTTGCCGCTTATTCAATTAACCATCCAAAATAGACACGTTGTCTCTATAAATATCTAGTCCCCTATGGTGACTCTATCCACAAATACTCTCCTATAGTATATAATCAATAACCGGCCATAATCACATTTCAATTAGTAAGCGCATATTAGTACCCCACAGGCATGCTGGGCACTCTTCAGAAATATACAAGACAATTGGATGGCACCATCTTAGCTGAAACAATTAATTAAATAATACAAAACTGTATGCAATCTTATAGTTTGCGTAAATTAAACTTCATTGAACTAATATCTCTCACCAAAATCTCCTGCATGGGGATTTCTTAGCAACTTAATAGTATTAATTATAGGGTTCAAGGCCTAAATAATTATTAAAAGCCTTAACTAGAAATAAATTTTCATAGGCCTACCTTGATAGGCAAGCATAATACACGTTATTATTTCAAGCAATATTCACTAAATATTCTCATATAGTAATATAAGCCGAACTGCAGCATAAATAATAGCCTACTGCTTCTGATAAATTAGAATGCATCTCGTTTTTCTCATAAAAACACTAACTTTGCATACACATTCCTACTGCAACATCTTAGAATAAGAAATATGCCTTTTTTAGTTAATTACATATGCACTCAATAATATACAAATGTAACTCAAGCTATTTCAATCAAATTATGACTGAAGCCTAGTCACAACATACACCCATAAGTTGTTTAATGTGAGCTCTAGTATAGCATTATTAACCCTCTGTAATTTCCACTCTCTGAGCGATTCTCATGAAGATTATGCCAGGTAAGAGCTCACAAAACTCATCTGTCACATTATTTAAGGAACCTAGAAAATGTATTTGTCTGTTCTTGAGGAAAGGTTCGGCTTAGAATATTGATTTTATAATTCAAATATTCAGAAATGTTATAGAAACTTTTATAGAAATGCTAGAAACTTATACTATTGCCTACGCAACATCAGTGGTCCCTGGCTACTAAGTTATCCAATATTGCCTTAACAACATCAGTGGTCCCTGGCTACTAAGTTATCCAATATTGCCTTAACAACATCAGTGGTCCCTGGCTACTAAGTTATCCAATATTGCCTTAACAACATCAGTGGTCTATGGTCAGTAAGTTATCCATTATTACCTCCACAATATCAGTGGTCCCTGGCTAGTAAGTTACCCATTATTACCTCCACAATATCATTGGTCCCTGGTCAGTAAGTTATCCAGTCAGTAAGTTATCCATTATTGCCTCCACAACATCAGTGGTCCCTGGTCAGTAAGTTATCCATTATTACCTCCACAACGTCAGTGGTCCCATGTCAGTAAGTTATCCATTATTGCCTCCACAACATCAGTGGTCCCTGGCTAGTAAGTTATCAATTATTGCCTCCACAACATCAGTGGTCCCTGGTCAGTAAGTTATCCATTATTGCCTCCACAACATCAGTGTTCCTGGCTAGTAAGTTATCCATTATTGCCTCCACAACATCAGTGGTCCCTGGCTAGTAAGTTATCAATTATTGCCTCCACAACATCAGTGGTCCCTGGCTAGTAAGTTATCAATTATTGCCTCCACAACATCAGTGGTCCCTGGCTAGTAAATTATCCATTATTGCCTCCACAACATCAGTGGTCTCTGGCCAGTTGTCCAGTATTATCCACACTAAATTATGTATCAAGTAAATACTTTAAACATGAACAAGTTTAATGAATAAAGTTGCATGAACAAATTTAATAATCAAAATTGCATGAACAAGTTTAATGAGCAAAGTAGCATGAACACGTCTAATGAAAAAGTTTAATGAGTAATTTTAATGGTCAAAGTTTTATAAATATCTTTATTGGACAATGTTCCATAAACATCTTTAATGAACAAAGTTGAATGAACACGTTTAATGTACAAGTTTTATGAAAAAAGTTGCATGAAGAAGTTTAATGAACAAAGTTGCATGAACAAGTTTAATGAACAAAGTTCCACAAACAGAGTTTAAGTTTTCCAAATAACTTAAGTTTGAAATTTGTTGTGAAGAATTTGGTGTTCTGGAGCTGTAGTTGCCATTGTATTAGTAACATGAGATGTACATACAGATGATTTATTTCTAGGCACAACTAACATACATCAGAAGTTGTATATTTTGATGTTGTAATAGTTGTAGTTGCAGAATAGGTAGTAATAATGTACCAAAGTAGGATCAATATTGTTCTTACAGCAAGATGAGGTGTAAGTGTTTCAGTAACGTGTTTGTAGAAATTAATAATGAAGGTAGATAGTTTGGTGATAGATAGTTTGGTGATTAACATTTGCACATTAAACCAACAGCACAACACACAGTGCAGGAACAAGACTGGATTAAACTTTGTATACAAAACTGATACAGCGGAAAACTGACTAGAAGATCTGGACCTCTCAGCGGCAAGCCTGTGATAATAATCCCCAAATAATATTAAATTTTGACACCAGGTTATCACTGCTATCTATATGTATTATTCTTTTCTGGGAACCAACCACGCCTTTATATACATCTGTCAGCCTCAAGTTGTCTTTCCACAGAATCATATTAATATTTGAAGCAAGGATATTCGCTTGAAAATGATGTTATTCCTGGTAACAGTACATGGCTCTCTTATGACAATTTACCATATACGATTGTAGGTCATTTAGCTTCTGTGCATATGTGAACATCAGGCTGGGAAGCAGGTGCCAATGAGTGCGAGAATAACTGTCAGTAAGCCTATATATATAATCCAGAGTGATAACCAGGTTCTTTCTCTATTAATATACAGCTTAGATTGCACAGGTTGCACAAATCGGCAGGTCACATAAAGTCACATCAGTCAACATAGAGACACGAGTTATAACTATCAAGCAGGCGTCCACATGACCAGATTCACTTAGCACCATCCATAAATATCATAATGAATAACAATAGCAGTTGTTCACGTTGCTCCCCAGTCCTGTTTGATCATCGCGGAGGCTTTCTCAGCGATCATGATGACAGGGGCGTTAGTGTTGCCTGAGACCACTACCGGCATCACTGAAGCGTCCACCACCCGCACACCCCCAGCGCCTCGGACTCTGCAGGAGAGGCCACAGTCTCACATTATGGCGGGGAGATTCAAAGAGCAGAGAGAAAAGTGTCCCCAAGGTCCTCCTCTATGAGCCTTGCGGACAGGCTCATAGAGGAGAGGGAAAGTTGCACATCCTAGCGCACAGGCTCAGAGAAGAGAGGAAGCGTCTTGCATCCTGATGAGCAGACTCAGAAAAATATGTCTGTACCATACATGCTACATTTTAATTTACAATTAGATGATCTGCATGAAAACACCGAATTACATCATTAAATCACCCATATGTGAGCCAAATATATTTCAAAATATGAAATGGTTCCATAATAGGCTGTGAGGTTAACACACCAACACAGTACCTATTACAAATTCTGAGACTAGCGATAACGAGCGTCAAAGCTTAAGGACCTCAGTCACGAGCGCCCTTGCAGACGTTTGGGCATGAATGCCAAGGTTTTCTTCAGCAAGGACTTTGTCTTGAACATTTCTATGTAGTAACACCTGGTGGAGCATACCGACTAGGTCACACTTTCTACCTAGCGTCTTTGTGTTTAGTTGTTGACTATCATGCTACCCATCAAGTCAATTTACTTCTTGTACAACTCTCCGCTCTTGCAGCTGTACAAAAATGAGCAACGACATTGTGTTTGGTTCCCCAAATCTGTTTGGATAGGCAGACGATGAGTCACAATAACGTGGCTGAAGATATGTTGACCAGACCACACACTAGAAAATGAAGGGACGACGACGTTTCGGTCCGTCCAGGACCATTATCAAGCCGATTGTCCAGGACAGACCAAAATGTCGTCGTCTCATCTTCTGGTGTGTGGTTTTGTCATCACATCTGTTTGGATAGTTCACATTTATCAAAGGTTTAATTATCTCATTATGAGATCAGTTTTCAACATGAAATGTTCTGGAAAAAATCGAAAGCAAAAATGTCCAACAATTCTGAATTACAAAACAATCAATGGTTGATGATTTGAGTCGTATTCCATACACTAACCATATTATTAGTTTCGTTTAGATGTTCCATTCACCATAGATGTGTTATGATTCTCTTGAATTAAAATGTATCAGTAGTACAAGACCCTATCGTACTTGGGTTCTCTATAAGAGCAATGGTATTGCTAAACCAACTACAAGGGTCCATAACTAGGCTAGCTCGACCTCAGATTCGTGGAATGTTACAACCTTGAGATTATCTCAATGTTAATGGAGGTGGAGTTATTTTTTGAGACAGTAGAAGTGCTGTTCGTTCATTAAAAAGTTCACATACTTTTGTTGTCAAAACAGAGTGAAATATAGATCAAAGTCATTTGAGTGAAAGGCCACAATGGTGTATAATTAGTATGGATCTCATCTTGTGTTGTCTTATTAAGCAAGATTGCGCTGACCCTCGCCTTGACGTTAGTTCATTTATTATGCATCCCACGTGAACAGTCTTAACAGGGTTAAGGCCATTGCAGTAAACCACACTGTTTTTGCACGTGTTGCATACACAAGTTTTGCAAAAACCATTTGATAAATGTGACCTTGAAGTAATAGCCCATATAATTATTAAATTCAAAGCAATACCGGACAGAGTAGGGAGGTGGATTATATAACTGTATAATAAACAGATTAGTGTCAGTAAACCAAACAAAATCCAGCCTGAGTACGCGGGAGTAGCCACAGTACTTACTGAGCACTCAGTAAGTACTCCAACTAGTCAGTACTTACTGAGAAGCCGGAGTACTACTACCTCGTGTATGGTTCCCGCATAGATATCCGTCCTCATATAAAATATAAACAAGAATACAAGTCTCAGTTATGTATAATATTTCCATATAATACAAAACAGTATTATATGTTTTGTATTATATATTACAGAATCCAGTAATATTGGATTGTATTATTATTCAAGATTGTATTGAATATTATACCTGAATGAAAATCTACAAATTACTACAGAAATAACCCTTTTTGAACGGCTGGTTCCCTCTCGTTCACTGACCTGACAGTTACAGCCCCGCTCCTGTGCCAGGTAAGTCCATTACGGGCTCACCATAGCCTGTGCTACTTGCAACTTTTTGTTCTGATAGATGGATCTAAAACAACTGACCTGAGCTGGTGGTCCACGACGCTCAGAGGGTCAGTAGCAGGACCCATCTTGCAGGTGCCGGCGGGGTGGAGGTAACTGGCAGCCATGTGGCTTACGTAGCACCTCCAGTAGGTGTCGCTGCCGAAGGCCTGAGTCTCGCACCCTGGCAGAGGCTGAAGCCAAGAGCCATCCAGAAGAAAGTTAGTGATTGACCCTCATGCCACATGTTTGATATATTAAATTATTTTTTTCAATATGGCTAGTCTATAATGTCTTTTTATTTTAATTATATACAGAATATGTATGGCCTATAGTACAAATTTACTAAATATATTTGATTAATTGAATATGACTGGCTTATTGTACTAGTTTGCTTTGTAATATCACAAAGACCTTCACACACACACAATGTTGTGTGTGTATGTTCACACACACACACACACACACACACACACACACACACACACACACACACACACACACACACACACACACACACACAAATAACAACAGTTGTTTACCTTATCGTGGAACTTAGCTCCGAGGTCAGTTGCCAGGGCAGACGTGTTCCCTACTGCCAGCAGAAACCTTACTGCTATTGAAGAGAAAATATATAATGATGAGTTTAAGCAATTATTAACGTGTATATATATTAGTTTCTTCTTTAAAAACAGTTCCCAGGTAGCGTAGTTGTAATATACTGGCTCGCTTCGCGGTCAATTTGATCTGGGTTCGTATCAGTAATTGGATACCTGGCACCTTTAGTACAGTTTAGGTAATTACACTTTCTCCCTCCCCCCTCCCCCCCCCCCCCCCCTCTCTCTCTCTCTCTCTCTCTCTCTCTCTCTCTCTCTCTCTCTCTCTCTCTCTCTCTCTCTCTCTCTCCAAAAGATCAGAAACGAATAACTCACTTACAACTAACTAGTGTCGACAGGTCATCGGGGTGACTGAGGAAGTTGGGGTCAATGAGAGGTAGGTCGTTGGGGTCATTGGACTTGAGGGTGACCGTGCCTCGGCTCTTGGGTCGCATCAGGTGGCACGCCATGTTGAATCCTTCCTTACCAAACACTGGCTCGAAATACTTCATGAAACTCTGAGGAGAAATCAGCTTTTAGACGTGGATCTACTGACTTTAACTTTAGGCTCCCTTGGGAACATTAATGGTAATATTATTGTTTGTATTATTGAAATAATAACTAAGGCGTCTAAGAAATATTATATTGTGTGTGTGTGACCTTTCTCGGCTGGTCCCTAAATGATGGCTTAATTAATTATCAAAGCTAAATTATTTTGAAATGCTGTATACACAAAGAAGGGTACACAGGACTTGATAGGCCACAGCAGGGAACTAACCAGGGGCCAGATTCACGAAGGAGTTACGCAAGTACTTACGAACGTGTACATCTTTCCTCAATCTTTGATGGCTTTGGTTACATTTATTAAACATTTTACAAGCATGAAAACTTCCCAATCAACTTTTGTTATTGTTATAAACAGCCTCCTGGTGCTTCGGAGCTCATTAACTGTTTAATAATTGCAAACAACGCTGCCAAAGATTGAGAAAAGATGTACAGGTTCGTAAGTGTTGGCGTAAGTGTTTCGTGAATCTGCCCCCATAACTGTCACTTACGCCATAATCCAGACTGGTGAGCTCTGGGGTGAGGAGTCCCCTGTCATATGACAACGGAGGCGTGATGACATGACACTGGACGTCAGGCCAGTTGGCGTCACCCCCCTCACCGCCTGCCCTGACAGTCACCCATGCGCTGGTCTTGTCCCCTTGCGGCTCCGCCAGGGGTCCTCAGGCGACGTATAAGATATTATACACAATGATGGTACAGATTATAGCCAATGATTATGGAGATTTTAGCCAATGAATATAGATATTATAGCCAATGATTATAGTGATTATAGCCAATGATTTAATAGATTATTTCCGATGATTATATATATATTAAAATTATTGATTAAAGACATAAATGATAATATAAATTATGAACAATGATTATAGATATTGTAGACAATGGAATATAGAGTTTATAGATAATTATATAAATTATGTGCAATAATTATAGAAATTTATGGACGGGGATTATAGAGATTATAAACTGTATACAGAGAGAGGGGGTACACTGGAGGGGGACACTGTACACAGAGAGGGGCACACTGTACACAGATGTACACAGATCACTCCACCAGCTCCTGTCAATCCCCACTACTTCTCCAATAAATTCGGGAAAAGTGAGCATCCTCTCGATTGACACCAGATAAAATGTGCATTTGGAAAATCACATTCAGGCAGTGGCAGTTTGGTCCAAGAAATGTAAGAGAAACTGACCTGTTCCAGTGGTGATGTACTGCTGGAAGGAAGCTGGAAAGTCAGGCAGTTTGATGATTCCAGGAGACACTGTCCAGGTGAGGCCCAGGACATTCAGGTGGTCCTGGAAGTTCTTGCCCACACCTGGTAGGTCTGCAACCACTGGCACCTGCCAGTGACGTATAGTAAATACATATAATTACCAACCGAATACGGGCTATTCATGCCCGTGCCACCTCTTGGGTGGCTTAATCTTCATTAATCAATCACCAACTGAACCAAAATTCCTAACCTACCCTAGGTCATACTATGCCCAAAATATTATTATTATATAATATATATTGACGTTTTAAAAAATACTGTTACATTATTTATAATAATTATTGTATACACCTTTGGACCGTCATTCACCAAGGGTCAGCAGTATTTTCTATACATTTCTGACGGATTCAGAGAACTATTTGTAACTTATCTTGTATGTATGTACTTTTACCTGAATAAACATTTGATTTGATTTGAACTACACATACAATTGTCGTGAAGTGTATACGCAGCCTCACCGTTATCCTAAACTCACTACTGTAACAGTATAGATTAGGCACAACCAGCCCTTGTACATTTTACGTGCCATGGGCTGCTGTACTGACTTTTTTTTATTGAACAACCACAGAAGGTGATTGTAGTGCTTTTAAAATATTAGGCTAAGCTACATACGTATATACATAGATACACAGATTTATGAATTCATTAATGTGAATTTATAATGGTGAAATGTAATTCTGATCAGCTTTATATTTTATACACATACATACACACACACATACACACATATATACATACACACATATACATACATACATACACATATATTTGTCTCTTAAGTGAGATAGCTGACAAGAGAAACTAGTGTGCAATTAAGAACTTAACCACTGAAGGTGATTAAAATGCTTTACTGAGTGGTTGACTCATTCAACCAGTCAGGCAAGCAAAGACAATTCATGCCCGCAACAAATGAGTGAGTAGCAATGCCTTACCCCATGTTCCTGCAGGTGTTCCCGTGGCCCTACACCCGAGAGCATGAGGATCTTGGGGGAAGCCAGCGCCCCCGCCGACACCACCACCTCCCTCAGCACCTGCACCTCCTGCGTCTGCCTCCCACAGAAACATGACCAACATTACACATCAATGGTCGCAAACACAGGTTCTTTATTCAAGTCTTGTTGAATAATATCCACCATTGCTAAGTCTATGTACGATAGCTTTATAGTGAGGGGAATATATTATAAAAATAACGTGTATAGAAAGTGACCCAAGCGCAAATTTATCAATAATTTAGGAGTTCTCGAACCAGGGTTGGTGTATATGTGGTACTCTCTCTAATGCCTGTATGTTCCAAGGCTGCTCTCTTGACCAGAGCAAACTTGGAACACTAGAGCAACCTTAGAATACAAGTACATTAAATCAATCTTCACAAATATAGACAACAGAGCAACCATGGAACATATATACACCAGAGAGAGCACCTTTGGAACGGTAAATGCAGTTAGAGAACCCATGGCTACACGAGACGTTCGGCTCCGTCTCACCAAATTTTCTCCGCTATTGAAGAGTGTTATCATATATGCAATAACTCTATGTTAAGACAATAGGAGTTTTGATCATGCTGTGTATAGTCTTGTACTCACCTTCCCTCGATGCATAAACCGCACACCCACTGCTCTCTGATCTTCATTCAGAGAATCTAAAACGATATACAATGTGCTGTAAGACAGGGCTATAAAACTGTATTATATAATTTTGTATTTGTAAATTCCCCGCTTTAAATCATTTTGCATTATTTTAAGAATCTCTCGTCATTAGGAATCCGAAATGCGCCTCGATATTGACTTGTAATTTCGAAGTTCATCCCAGTCTCTGAAAATGTAATTGATACTAGTGTGGAGAATTAGACATTCAATGGAGGAAAGCGATATAATAGAGATTTGTAGAAGAGAAACTTGCAGTGTTACCTTATGGACCATGGCGCTGTGAACCACGTGAAGGTTGGGTCGAGCTGCTGCTGGCCGTAAGAAGTCCTCTGCGGTGGACCCCCTAACACCATCCAGAACCGTGTAGTCAGACGTCGCAAAACCTGCGGATTACGTAATATCTTATTCGTTCACTTCTTTATTGTATCCTCCATGTCAACCCTGTTTGACGACCCTCTGTCAACCCTGTCTGACGACAGTCTGTCAACCCTGTTTGACGACTCTCTATCAACCCTGTTTGACGATCCTCTGTCAACCCCTGTTTGACGATCCTCTGTCAACCCCTGTTTGACGATCCTCTGTCAACCCCTGTTTGACGATCCTCTGTCAACCCCTGTTTGACGACCCTCTATCAACCCTATTTGACGACCCTCTATCAACCCTGTTTGACGACCCTCCATTTCATTTCCTCCATCTCCGGTGGAGGCGGAAACAAATGGGCAGAGTTTCTTTCACCATGATGCCCCTGTTCACCTAGCAGTAAATAGGTACCTGGGAGTTAGACAGCTACTCCGGACTGCTTCCTCGGGGTGTTACAAAAAGAAGGCCTGGTCGAGGACTGGGCCGCGGGGACGCTAAGCCCCGAAATCATCTCAAGATAACCTCAAAATACAGTATATCAACCCTTTTTGACGAGTCTTTGAGCCTGCTTCATACATTGACCCCTTCATTTGAAACATGTATGTAAACTCAGATACTTTTCATCTTATTTAAAAACCGAACTTTAACATTTATAAACATTTTTGTACATTATCTATCATACTGCAATGTGCAAATCTTTTAAGAAATGATACAAAATTCGTCACTGGTTTCAATCTGATCCTACCGATCTGGTCCTCTCCGTTGGGATCAATAAGATGATAGCCAAGTTGCTGGCCAGCTCGGAGGAATGCTTGGCTTAATGCTGACCGCTTCCTTGTAGGCGTCACTGACATCGCCCCGCCCCGGCCATGGAAGGTCTCTGGAACAACAAACAGGATTTTTTTTTGCAACAACAACAGAATCACTCTGAAATACCATAGGAATGTATATAGAATAGTAAATAGGAAGATTTCTGGAATGAACACAAATAGAAATGCCGATTTCACCAATTGTATATTCTAGAATCTAAAAATGTACCTGAGTATTACACTAGTTTAATTAATATTTTGAAACTTTCTTTTATATAACTTAATTACCATATATATATGATAAGGATTTAGTTCTAACCTATTTAACATAATGATCACAGTATTTATAATTAATAAACATTATTATTAGCACTGTACATAATGTTAAGATTTAAAGTATACTGGCTGTTTGGTTAGCAAATTATTGTGGTGGATTTATTAACCCTCTAGAGGTTAATACTTTTTTACTACTGTTTGGCCTTAAGCCCAACACTAAATCAAACCAATGAAGTTTTAATAATTATATCTACTCCAACACTATCTCTAAATGTAATTACATATTAATATCAAGGTAAATGTTTATATTTATTGACTATAAATACTTAATACTTACATTCAGTTCCCCACTCAAAAGAGTGACTTAAATACGGGAGATACAGATTTGCTTCAGACTTTGAATACATCAATATATTCATCAAGAGGTGTATGTTGCTTCTTAGTGTATATATTTAGTTTTGTCCTGGGTTAGTTCAGGATTAAAGTGAACTTGTTGGTTGGTCAGTAAGTATTGCAATAGCCTAAATAACTTTCCATTGGTTGATAGGCCTCTAGCTATGCACAGCAGGATGTGTAAACCAAACGGTGTAATCTGCTTCTCGGTGTTCATACACTGAGTTTACTTTTGTCCTTGATTATGTTCAAGACTATTCTTGCGGGTTACTTAGTATGCAGTTGCCTTAATTACTTTTCAGAGATTGATGTGCCTTAAGCCCAACACCAAACCAAGACAGCCGAACGTGCTTTTCCATTAATAAATGTCCTGAACTCTTTTTCAGCATACACTTTTTATATTTTAAACCAACGATTTATATTACAAGTTATAACTTGATAATAATCTCTGGTTGCGACAAAGATTCATTTGCTAGTTAACATGTAGACTCTTACTAGAGCCGTAATATACATTCAGACCACCATAAATATTTAGATAACTATCCAGGTGGTTTGAGTTTGGATGTGGTTTCTCTGAAGCCAACTAACACGAGTCAAAAGTAAACTATTATTGCACCCTACAGAAAAAAAGTAGGAAATCTTACCACTCATTCCATGTTTCGGTCCCATGTAGTTCTCAGACATCTTGAAATAAGGTAGGACGGATTGGTAGTCCCAGCCTGGATTGCCTAGAGCAGCCCACTGGTCGAAATCCTGCCTGCTACCGCGCTTGTACAGCAGTCCGCCCACAGTCGACGAGCCTCCCAGGACCCGACCCTGTAGCAGCCGCTCTCTCTAAAAGCCAAGTATAAATCTCTTAACAGGGGGTCACAGTCAAGGGACATGAAGTCATAATTCTACTGTTACAACTTCTGCTAATGCTGCTACTAATGCCATGGTGTCCGCTGCTTCATTTGGTACTAATGCTACGGCTTCCGCTCCTTCACCTACAAACAATGCTTATGTTTCAACTACTTCAACAGATACTACTGCTATAATTTCTACTTTTGCTGCTACTAATGCTACGGTTTCCTTTACTTCAACTGTTACTAATGAATTGTTTTCAACTACTTAAGCGACAGTTTCTACTTCAGTTGCTACAACTGCTACGATTTCTATTATTTCAGCTACTTCTGCTGTTGCTTCTTGTACAGCTGTTACCAAAACTTTTATTTTTAATTTCTAGTGTTGCTATTATAAGCGTTTTAGTACTGTTATAAGCATTATTGTAAGTACTAGTGTTTCTACTAGACCTGTCTACAGTGCCCCCAATGCTACAACTTGTTTGCTTCACTAGTGAGACATATTACGATGAGTTTTATATTCAGACAAGTCAACAGCATCTTCCAAGAGTTGCTGAAGTATACCATAAGAAGTACTAAGCAGTGATATGTTGCCTATAAGCAATTGAATAACTTAACTCATGTCATTCCATAAGTCATATTACATAGGTAATAAGAATTTACCTATCAGGTAAATTCGGGTAAGTCAGTCGTTGTTGGTGTTGGTGATTTAGGGAGCGACGACGATCGTAGGATCGAATGCCCCCCAGAGTACCCATGAAGGGTTAATCAGGAAGCCTAATAGCTAAATAAATGTCGCTTATCAGAGGAAAGTAATATGCCTTGCGGCCAATAAACTCCGCGAGGCGTTGGTTTTGGGTTTGTTTATTATTTTTTGGTTTTGCACCCCATAGCAAAACCAAAAACTCGGCCCATAATGAAAACGCAAAAGTCATCATCCAGTGCCCTCCGGCAGAGCGCAAGCCAGCCGCCCACCACGTCTGAGGGCACAACATGACTCTAATTCCCGGGACCTTTCGGCCAAACCGGCGCCGGACACCGTCACCTTGCCCGAAGAACCAGCCAGAAAACGTTCAAAATTTATCAACTATCCTCTGACCCAAGGCGACATGTGCGCTAGGCGTCATAACAATCCGGACCGTGGAATACGAATGCCAAACTGCAGTATCATAATCCAAAATTGGGAAACAGAACGTGATCCGGCGGCTCCCAGGCGGAGGATGTGTCCCTTCGTCGCCGTCAAGGTCGCGAACAAGTCCGAAAACCTCTTAAGAAAGACATTTCACAACCTTTGTGCACTTGGTATAATTCCGGTTCACACTTTAGATAAACGCATACGGATTTCATTATTGACTTTGTACACTTTGTATAATTCCGGTCTGTCTTTGCTCTTGATGCTAACTAAATGTGAAAAAATAAACACAAAAACGACCTAAAAATACATTGGTTAATTATTTGATTAATATTTATTTATCCCTATCTCTTGTGGAACCCCTAGTTAGTTTGAGGGTTGGGAAACGCGCACTGCCACAAAATTTACACTTACCCTTCCGACGAAGCTCTTGTGTGAGTATTTCTGCGGAGTTATGTCGTATTGCCAAGTGAAGTCGCTGGGGAGGTAGAAGGTCTGAGAGAGGCCAGGGACGTAACTCTCAGGAGGAGGGAGACCTCCAGCCTCCAGCAGCAGCACCCGCCACTCCTGGACCTCCGACAGGCGAGACGCCACAACGCTGCCCGCTGAACCTCCGCCCACTGTATAACAAACCAGAGAATATACCAGTAAGTCCAACTGTGATATATACGGTTTCCAGTGTCGGGGGGACAGGAAGCCTGTGCATACATACACTTTAGGTTTGTATCGAGGGCTCCTCTAAAGTCGAACTACTGACCTTCCCCAGGACGCAACACCAAGTTGTCTAATTCCCAGGTACCTATTTAACTGCCTTAGATGAAAGGAAACGTGCCCAGCCATTCCTGTCCCGCACGGGAATCGAATCTGGTATCCCTAATTGGGAGTTGAGAACGAAGCCTCTTCTAAGACCGTGGGTGTGTGTGTGTACCCCATATCAATATTATTAGGTATTGTTAAAAAGTACCATAGTTTCTCCTATCAAACTACATTATGTTCGTTTTTAATATGTTCAAAGAAAATTTTAACTTGAGTAAAGACTTGAGATAAATTTAAGAAAGTTCCATGGTAATCAAAATTAAAGTAGTACTTTAATTTACTAAAAAATATAAAACTATGATCGAGCTTATGCTCTGCTTGATCAGTCAGGTTGAGCCCCACTGGGCCTGGTCAGTAACTGGACCTGTGTATATAGCCTCGCCTTTGGTAATGGGCCACTTGAATTTGGCAGCAATTTATGTTTACCAAAAACAGAAAATCGAGCCATGTTATGTAAATTTCGTGAAGGCGAAAGTTACATATCTAGGCTGGGAGACAACAAAACTCCAGAATTTAGAGAGCCTTGTAAAATTGCGTTCAGAAACATGTATAAGTACGTCATTCAAAATTATAAAATACCAGAAATCTTAGTCAAATATCCCAAGTTTAGGCCTCGATGATGACAGGAAGCCGGCGGCGTGTCAAAGGTCCCCCCGTTTGTCCATTCAATTACTATACGCCTCATACCCATACTGCGAGTGGTAGTGGAAAATGGTGCAGATTGCGATCTTAGAGCTCAGGAAACGAACCAGTATCCAGAGATCATTGATGGCATTAACCACTAGGGCACTAGGACTCATTTCCTTTCACTTGATGTTTCTTTTCACCTAGCAGTAATTAGGTATCTGGGAATTGGGCAACTGGAATTGTGGCTTACATCCTGGAGAAGGTCAGTCGTTGACCTACAGGAGTCCCGATAAATCTAGCAGGCTTTTTGTACCCAAACACAGTAGGAATAGAATTCAGCATGGAGGCAGTGTACCAATACTCACCCACGATGAAGTCGTATTGTGGAAGTATGGTAGCGGAGGAGTGGTAATGACCTCTGTCGTGACCAGCCTTCATCACCACCCCGGTCAACAACAGGCGTACCAATGGTAACACCGCCTGGCTCAACCATTCTCCTACTCTCGGCACCATAACTAGTCGTTGAAAGGTACACTCTTTCCGGGCACCTGCATTCACTTTCAGCACTACAAAGTTCACTTTCGGCACAATTTTAGTCACGTGTGTTGGCACATTTTGAGTCACTTTCAATCGAGATGATTTCTCAACGTATAATCTATTTCTGAATTTATACCAATAAATTTAAATTCACAAAGAGGTTTAAAAATTTTCACAAACTAAGATTCAGGCTAACACTTATGTCTTCTGATAGATGTGAAGGAATATTGTAAACCACATAGCAGAGCATTGTTCTGCACAATACAGATTTAATTAAGACAAACTATTATGCAAAACATCACAGAACACTATTCACAATGATCTAGAACACTATACAATATAACAAATTATAACACTATACAGCATAACAAATTATAACACTATACAACATAGAAATTCTAACACTACAATGTAACAAAAATTCTAGCACTAGAACATAACATGAATTAAAACACTATACAACATAACATAAATTCTAATACTATACAGCATAACATAAATTATAACTATACAACATAACAGAAATTAAAACACTATACAACATAACATAAATTCTAACACTATACAGCATAACATAAATTATAACTATAGAACATAACAGAAATTAAAACACTATACAACATAACATAAATTCTAACACTATACAACATAACATAAATTAAAACACTACAACATAAAGCTCAGAACACGATAAACAGCAGAGCAGAATACGATGCATAAAGCAGAGCTATATACAACAGGATGAATAATAAAACACTATTCACCACAAATCAGAAATAATACACTATGATGCCAAATAACAAATACTAACTACAAGTCATAATAGAACACTATTCACTACGATTCAGAACAGAATACCGCGAAACACTTCACTCTATCACAGCACAAAACGGAACACAATTAAAACATTACAGATAACAAAAACGGCGCACAACTGAACACTGCTCCACATACCAGAGAACAGAGCACTAACTCACACAGCGAAGAGCACAATAGATTTCGACAAAGAACTATATAGAACAGTTCATCACAGTAGAACACTGTTCATCACTGCCCAGAGCAGAACACTGTTCATCACATTACACAAAATGCAACACTACATAACGTAGCCTGCAACACACCCCAACAGAACACACCACCACACTGACAACCTTTCAAGGGAACACCTCACCATTCCTATGACAAACCTTGACCCACTCACTCTTCCTGGTTATAATTAAATTGCAACAGCAGTATCTGCAGCGAATGCAAGTTGCATTGCAGTGTGGTGCATGTTGTATCCCCTTGTAGTGTGGTGCGTGTTGTATCCCCCCTGTAGTGAGTGCCTGTTGTATCCTCCTGTAGTGAGTGAATGTTGTATCCCCCTGTAGCAAGTGCATCTTACATCCCTCTGTAGTGTATGTTATATCCCCCCCTGTAGCAAGTGCATGGTTATCCCCCCTGTAGCGAGTACCTGTTTGTCCGCGTCCCCCCCCCCTGTAGTAAACATCTATAACAAACACATGCAGCAAGCCACTGTAGCCAGCAGTCGTAAGAAGCAACTTTGCCAAACCCATGTAGCAAAAGGCTGTAGAACACGCCTGTAGTGAACACCTGGAACATGGCTGAGGCGAAGTTCTCCTTTCCTGGACTCATCAAGATGAGTTACCCCCATTTAACCACCACCAGCATCACCACTTGCACCAGCATCACCACTTGCACCAGCATCACCACTTGCACCAGCATCCACCACTTGCACCAGCATCCACCACTTGCACTGATATCACAATTTCCATCACCACCACCAGTTCCAGCACTACTACTTCAATCATCATTACCAGTCACCTACGTCTCTGCTTCCTCTCCTGCTTCGTCTTCTCTGTTTCCTCTCCTTCACTTTCCCCTGACTCCCGCGTCACCCTTAATTTCAACACGAGTGGCTTACCTTGACTTCCTCCGTGAACCTCCTCCCTCTCTCACTATCTATCTGTCTATGTCTGTCATTATCTATCTCTCTCTCTTTCTCTTTCCTTCTCTCATACATTATTCAGAAATTGCGAAGCGACATATATATACACGCTCTCTTAAGGTTAACATGGGAGATTGCACCAGACTGGCGGAAGCCACTCAGATATGATAACATGATAGCAATGTAAGAGAAAAAGCAAAACAGCCAAGGAATGCGCTGCTGAAATGTGAAAGGGTAATATGTGGAGACTTGGAGACGGAGGCAATGTTCCTTTATAACGATGATCAAATGCGTACAGTAGGAAGTTTTTTCATGACCAAGGTCGGATGTGAACACTTGAAGCCACAAGTAGTGTTCCTTAATGATGATGAGACCTATATATTCACATCTCAACCAAATTTCACGGCTCAAACTAAGTGTGACAGAAGACGGGCATAAAGTTATTGTCACGGTGGACGGGTTTTAAGTAGACAGATTTAAATTACTATCAAGGTAAACGGATTTAAGTTACTGTACTGTCAAGGCAGATGAATTTAAATGACTATACTGACCTAACTTTACTAGGAATGGTATGGGGAGGAAAATAGCCTACAGTTCGTAAAAGAGGGTAGAAGCCTAAAGGAAGCCCTTGACTTGTGAAGAATAATAAACCGAGTCATAGAACTCACCTTAAATAATTAGGATTAAAACTAACCTGAGGACCGACTCCCCACAACCCCTGATGTTTATGTAATGATTTACAAAAGGTGAAAGGCAACTACCAGGTAATGAAAAGGATGAGTTGTAAGTTTTGACAGAAGGAAACTCGTTGACAAAACTAATATGATGAACACACTAAAATGGTGTAGTCTTTGGGAGAAGGAAAACCTCCACGCAAACTCCATGCACCACAAGGAAGACATTTTTAATATTTTTAGAAATATCCGCCGTTACAGCGTCCCCCCCCCTTCTCCCTCCTAACCCCCCAAAAATAACAAGAACGAACACGAGCTTAATTTTCCTTGTTATATTTACCTGAATTTACCTGAGGGGCCACTAAAACTAGTGGCCTCGATGACGACAGGAAGCCGGAGGCTTGTCGAAGGTCCCCCCCATTTGCCCTAATGATCTTGTCCAGCTTGAGATGTTGCAAGATGAATTGTTTCGTTAAGTACATATGAAGAGTTGTGATTTCCTTGGCTGTTTGAGCTTGGGATGTGGTACTGTAATCACAAAGCAGTGTTCTTAACAGTTCTGTGACTCTGAGGTCATAGCAAAATAATAATGTGTTCTTTTAAGGTTAACCGTTATGAGTGTTCGTTTTTTTCAGTGGGTGTTCTGCTTTTCTAAGTTAGGTTTGGCTGTTTCTCCAGGTTACAGAGCTTAGATGTGGTGTTTATCAAGATTACATGGTTGTGGTGTTCTGTTTCTCAGGGTTACAAAATATGTAGGTGGTCTATTTCTCATGGTCACAAGGTTTAGATGTAGTTTGTCATGGTCACAAGATTGAGGTGTTCTGTTTCTCATGGTCATAAGGCTGAGGCGTTTTGTTAATTTTAGTCACAAGGCTGAGGTGTTCTGTTTCTCATGATCACAAGGCTGAGGTATTTGCTTTTCATGGTCACAAGGTTGAGGTGTTCTGTTTCTCAAGGTTTGGGTGCTCTATTTCTACAGGTGTGGGTGTTCTGTTTGGCAAGATTACATGGTTGCGTGTTTCTCAAGGTTATACATTGTGGGTGCTCTCTTTCAAGGTCACAAGGTTCAGGTGTTCTGTTTGTCTAGGTTACAAAGTTCAGTTTCGCCTGGTTACAGGGGTTCTGTTTCGTTATTTTGCAAGGTTCTGTTTCGCTAGGCTACAAGGTTCGGGTGAAAGGCGTATCGTGCGTAAATACACAAATGAATTCCCACAGGTGTTACTGTCGCCACTTATAGCTAGCGAGACGAAGTGTCGTGGCTCAGCAGAATAATGATGCTTTACATATGTAAAGGGGCACAAACACAGGTGAAAGTCATTGGCATGAGAGGAGGCACGTCAATAGGTGGTGTCAAGGTGAATGCTAAGTCATGTCATCATTAGCACAGGAAGGTGGTAATGGAAAGGGTGTAACTTGCCCGGGGTGGTGGGTCGCTTCTTGGCATGGCCCTGAGGGTGGTCACCTGCCAGGGTTGAGTCCTCTCCTGTGCAGGCTCCACCTGGAAAACTCTTATTAGGGAGAGTGGAGGGATCTTCCACTAGCCATTTGTGTCCTTTCCTGAAAGACCTCACGTGGAAGAATGGGGGAGAGTCGCCCCAAACCTAATATCACATTCCTTATCCTTCGCCATCTTTCCTACCCTTCACCGTCTTCCTTACCCTTCATCATCTTCCTTACCTTTCACGGCTTTCCCTTTACCATATACTTTACGCTTCCCGTTCCCTTCCCGTCACCACTTCTCTTACATCATTGTCTTCATCAATAAATAAACTATTTAAGACATACAAACATTTAATCATGTAAAAAATAATATGCTGAATGAACCTTCGTAAGACTGTAGTTTTAGTGTATAGCGAGATTGGAACTTTAATTCCAATTTTATTTACAAACCACCCGTCACCCTGCGAAGTTTGGTTAGGCTAGCTCCAAACAAATATTAAACAGTATTTATAGATATAGATATTATGCTATACTCATTTATAAGATTTGTGATAAGTAGTTAGGTAAATAAGACCTGGAAAATTACAGAAGCCCTGTAAGGAGAGAGAGATAAGGATATGGAGGAGAGATAGATTGCTTTCTCCATCTTTCATGCTAAAGAGGTGGACAGCCTTCTCCATCCGAGAGGTGGCACCCACCCTTCAGTTCTGGAGGAGAGGTCGCAAGCAGAAAATCGCAAGATGGAATAAACCTTTAAACAACCGAGAGACTATAGCATAGATTGCTGGTATAGGCCTCAAAGTTCTCATTGACACCATTGTTGATTGCCACTTCGAGAAGTTAAACAAAAACAGTTCCCAAAGCATCCATACATTGTTACACTGATAGCCAATTACAGCTGCACATCATCCCATGTGTAATTCTAGTTAGTTGCCCCTAGAACATCGTCGACAGCCAGTCCATGCTCGCAGCAAAGCTGTTGAATTGCGTAGGTTGAAAAAACGAGATATCATTAAGCCAATAACAGGACCAACATCATGAGAGATATCATTACGCCAG